AGAAAAGGTGGTAAAAATACTTTGTAATAAATATTTCAAGAAAAATTATCAATATTATTCATTAATTTATATAAAAAATTATAATATTTTTATTTTAAAACTTTAAAACAATGAACTTTTTTCTTTATATGATATTAAACTTTTTTTTAATTTAAATCAATGTAAAATTTAAATTCAAATTTATATTTATGTTTCTCTCAAGTATGAATTCATTTTCTCAACAACCTCAAGTGATACAAAACAAAAAACACAAAGTTAATCCTCCCAAAATGCATATCAAGAACTGTACCTTCAAATTCCCTCTTTGCCTCTCCAAAAATACACACTTTACTAATTTTACGAATTTTGTTCTCTTAAAAGAATCATCATGAAAACATATTAAAAAGCCTGCAAGTTTTGTAATAAATGATTAATAACTACGTCCCTTTTACTTAACGCAGAAGAATCTACACATTTGGGAATGAATGCATGAACAATGAACAATAATAAAGGTAATAAAAAAAGAGCATTAATGGAGCTATGATATGTCAACAATTATGGCTTTCCATTTCACTGTCATGAAGATGAATTGATTGGGTGGCTAATCTTCTGGCCCATCTTGCATGCCATCCATAAGTTTAACCGACACGTCACATTCCAAGGACGCTAAAACCAGCTACGCTAATTATTATAGTAAACAAGAACAAACAAAGTGAATAATATCATTAGCATCTCAGGTTTTTAAAAGTGGCTGGATTTATTCGTGAACCTCAAATGTAACACATAAAATGTTATTCCTGTGTCTCTAAAATAATGATTATGTTTGCTATAATTTTGAAAAGGTTACAGAAGGGATGCTCTTGACTTCACGTTTGAATTCTTTAAGCATCGATCTCGTGGCATAAAGCAAAATTGGAAGATTTTGATCATTAAACTTAAATATAATCATATAAGCTTTTTACCTTTCTACTCAAATGCTTCTGTCAAACCACTTTGTTTCATACTTTAATTCAAACTATCTGGAAGCAAGGAAAGGAGAGAAAGGTGAAAAGGGCAATGCATCTTTATAGTAATGCATGGAGATAACAATAAAGAACAAACCCATCTCATTTTTACCCTTTACACACATATTTATGCAGAAACACAGATTAATTAATATATATTACTTGTTTGTAGGATCGAAAGATGTGTACCTTCACAATTTCGGATTACCTCTTAGTTCTCCCGAGTTTCTATTATCTATAATTTTTTTCTTTTTCATAATGCATGAGCAGTGAATACATGATAAAGACACTCCGACGTTTAAATTAGTATTAGATTATCGATCGATTATAATTATTAAATTTTAAATGCTTAATAAACGTCATTTATCTCCTCCTTTTGTATTTATAATTTTCATATTAGGACTTTGATTAGAAATATCCTAATTGAGGTCTAATGTTACTTAAACATGGTTGTACTTTCCTAATCCGAAATAGAGGTTTCGACCGTACGATTAAATGGTTAGTACGGTTAAGAGGTTCGTACAAATCATGATATCGGTTAATCCATTCGATATAGAAGGTTGTGATTCTTCGAAGCTATTCTTCTATATTTTTAACCGACCAGTCTATACACTATACTGTAATATATATTAGAATCTAGTTGAAGTTGATGCAATGATTTGTTTAGAATTAAAAGGTAAATGGGTGCAAAAGACAAGAACCTATTGATCTGTACTGGATAAGTATGGCAGAGTTAAAGCATGCTTAATGATACAGTTCTGATAAAAATATGTTAACATAATTTGAAAAAAATAAGTGGTGGGGTTCAACACAGGACACTGCTTTTACTTTCTTTTGCTAAAGATCTGAAGTTGATTTTGTTTTCTTTTTTCTCCTGTTTCTTCATATGACACAGTGCTGTTAACTTCATTCTTTTGATATGCATTCTCTTGAATGAATGAATAATGAAGAAGCTTATTGATATGATATGAACATGCAAATGCCCTACCTTAACCGTTATATACACATTCTTTGGTGGCTAAAGGCTCACCACATTAATCATAATCATATGTCCCATGAAAGTGGCTGTACACAAATGTTGTTCCCCCTCGTCACTTTCTTCCCAACATCATCATATTTTCCGAAACATTCTTATATCTACCGTATGTGAACTCATTGTAGTTTAACTTAGTTCTTTGATATTAAAGTCTATTTGCTTTTAAGCATAAATTCAATTTTTATATTGCAAATTTGATATCAAAAAGAATTTTAAGATACAAATCTCATTTTAGGATTTTCTAAAATTTAATTAAACTTATAATTTACTTTTAGTATTGTTACTATGGGCTCATAGCCGACCGAACAGTAGAAGTGCAGAAGAGTCGTCGACCGATGATACCTCTCAGGACAGTGAACCGATCGGTTAAATCAGCCGTTAAGGTAATTAATAGTAATAACTGTCGAAGAGTTAATGAAAATAATTGTCATTTATTGACAATTAATATTATCATTCATTGGTGGTTAATGAGTCAGACCTAATGGTAAGCTCATTATAATCTATAAATATTTGTCTGGCAAAGGGTACGGGTAACTTGAATTGGAACTGAACCTAGAGCTCTGATAACTAAATCTTGATTACAAGACTATTACGCAAAGTCACTGACTTGAGCGTCAGAGTGTCTTTTGTAGGCACCCTCCCCCACGGCTTGGACAAGGAGAAGAGAGAAGACAACACCCCTGGACATCAGACAACTTTGAATGTTTTGGATTAGGGTTCTAAGTCCTGTCGAAACAAGTATAAATTAGATTTTAAAGAAATTTGATATCTGGTAGATCTACTACTTTAATTATTATGATAAATTTAAAGTTGTTTTCTTACTATTCAATGTTTTTAAGGATTATAGTAAAAAATCTTAAATCTTAATTAAGGATTTCCGTATGTTTAGAAGTTTTTTTATTGGTATTTATTTTAATTGTTGGTTCAGTTTTGGAATATTAAAAAAAAAACTAAACACTTTATAAGTAAATTTTGTTAAATTTACAATTTCGAATTCTTAAAACCGTTTTGACATATTCAAATACGTTAGTTTTTTTATTAGTACTATATTAATGTTAACATAAGAAAATAATTATTATTTCGTTTGGTGACTCGAAACAAAAACACAATATTTTCATTACCTAGTAATGAGAAGAAACTAAATCTCACAATATATGCGTGAATAGAAAGTGAATTGGTGAATGATCCTGAAAACAGGAATAAATATTATAGCGTCAGTTAGCTGCAATCCCATCCATAAAAGTTCCTCTTTTTAAAGTAAGTCTATCTTTTATAAAGTGTACGGTGGAGATATAGTTTACTATAAATATCTTTATTTTCACTAATACTAAATTAGCACGTAATTAGTTTAATTCAAATAAAATAAAATATATATTACTACATTATTTTATAATGGAAAATGACGTTTTAATTTGTAATTAAGGTACAATTTAAGTACTATCTTAAAAAAAACTGTAATTTTTCTTTCTGTCACGAGCTTTTATTTTAAGGCCTAAACACTTAAATATATAAGATATCTAACTACTAATAAACTGGTTATACAAAACATATACTCTAGGCCAAACTTAAACAAAAATTTCAAACAACTAAAAATATATTTATTTCAAGAAATGAGTTTATTTGAATTATTTTGAATCTTCACATATTTAAATTTGATTTTTTTACCAATAAAAAATGTGTATTAAAAATTTGACAAATTGTAAAATATCTCTCAAATTAAATTAATACTTCATCTATTCTTAATATTTTTTGTGCTTAAGATTATATTACCATGTTTAAATAGATCTAACTATCCTTGTTTAATATTTGCTACTTCTATAAACCATGGTTATACTTAAGCAAATATAAAATACTACTAAAAAAAGTTGGAAATGATAAAATATTAATAATTTTGGAACAAAAATGGGAAGCTAAGTAATAAATGCATCCTTTATTTTTTGTTTTGAAGTTAAAGACATTGAATGTCATTGATCATGGAAGTTGGGAGTGAGAGGAAGGTGTGGTGAAAGAGATTGGTTGTATTTGTTTTCTTCTCCTAACTTTCTCACCACTCCTTTACTATTTAAAGTTCCTGTCTTGTGGGGGAACTTACACTAGTTTTTGTAAATAAGTGGACTTATGATGTACTAAACTTCTTTGATTATGTAAATTAATCTTATTTTATTATTTGGTTAATATAAACATTCTGCATATTTTAACAGTGAGAATAACTTATGGAGTGTGTTAGTGGCAGCAGATCATAGGGAAGGGTACCCCACTAAGTGTCATAAATGTCAAGCTTGGTCTCTGTGCTTAATCACACTCACTTCCTTTTATTTTTGTAACCCATAAATCTTAGTTATCTCTGTCATACTCATCTCTTCCATGTACCCAGCAATAAGTGGTATGGGAATAATTGGTGTCTCCAAGAACTGAATTTTATTTGCAATTTCGGTTGGTCTTCCATTTCCAATTTCTGGGTTTGAATTCTTTTGCTACAGAAAAATGAGTACAGAGGAAAAGCCTGTGAATGACGAACATGAAGCAGGTTCTTGCAGACGAACAGTTTCTCTTCCAGTTCAAAAGGTACCACTTTCGGTTATTCGTTTTGCATCTTCTTTAGCTTCAATCTGGGGCATAGGGTCTGGTTTATTTCAAGGATTAGTCACTAATTTAAACTCTTGAGTATGATCTTTCTTTTTTTTTTCTTCTCTTTCTTAATAAATAATATCATTTGTCGCTCCTTCTGTCAGTTTTGGTTTTGTTTGTTTGTTGATTCTTCAGAACGAAATTTCCAAATCTATTCTTTTGTTATAGTAGACATGCTATGAACACTGAAAATAATCATTACGAATGACAAAGTTTGTTCTTTTATGTATTTTATTCTTTTATTTGAATAATTGGGTCAGTTTTTGGACTAATATATATCATACGCATATATTTTATAATACCCAGAGCTTGATTTGTCTGGATTTTTTTTCATAAACTGTATCTGTGGGATTTATTCCTGTAGTATGTTATTTCTTGGTGTGAATTTTATTCCTTTTAATTGTTAGCGTGTTTGTTCTGATCTCTTGTGTGTGCATGAGAACTGACTGCAACCAGCTTTCAGCTACTTTTGTTTTTTCCCCCGAGTACTTTGAATTATGCAGTTGAATATGTCATGTAGTTTGCGTCCATAGGACCCAGTCGGTTAGAGTTGAATATGTTCAGCCAAACATCTATTATTCAATTCACTCCATAAATATGTAATCACTAAATAATTTGCTCAGAATTTTATTTCAAATAGGATTTGAATAAGAGTTTAATTTCACTGTAGGGAGACTTCATATTCAACATTGGGCCACGTGAATTGCTGATTCTGTGATACCTTTCTGTGGAAAATCTTGGCTACACTTTTGTTGATTTAGAGTCTTTGAATGAACTTCTCCATAAGGATTTCTAGGAGAGAAAAAAATGAAATAGACTCTTCATAAGTTAAAATTAGCTCATGCACAGTCAAAAGATAAAGATATAGTGAAGTGATACAAGAGAATTTCTTTAAATTAACTTGCGTATGAGATAATTTTATCTTATAGAGAAATTGATTTCATGTTTTTCTCTCCTGAAACATTATATAGAAGTTTTACAGGAGGATTTCGACATTCAATCACTGCATAACTGTTTATTGTTTGAGTACACATCCAATTACACTTTCCTACTTCTTGTTGCTAAACAGAAGCAGTTTGAGTGCTAGTTTATATTTTCATGACAATTATAATAAAAGATTTAAGAGATGAAATCATTTAAATATTCTAGTTTTTGTTATATGATACTGCTATTAATCTGAATTCTGAAGATCTCTATTTGATTCGGTCATTAATATATCAGAACATGTTTTATGCACTGCCTTTTTATTTACATCAAAATTCCATGTTTCAAAACTACGACATTGTACTTACAAGTGAAGAGGCGAGTTAATGGATTGGCTGGAAGGAGAAAAGAAGAAAGACTCGGTATCCCTGTTTAATATAGTCTAATTATGTGTGTGATGGCTTTCAAGCTATGACTAGGAAAAAGGATTCATTGACTACTGAAATAATGTTATTAGGTTGAATGTAGTTTACATGTATATCAAAACCGCAGCACTTATTTTATCAGTTGCATATTTATTTGTAGGTTGATGATCCAATGGGGATAACTGAAGAAGCTTCCCATGTTCCTCCTCGGAAGCGACAGAATCTTCTCCTGGAAATACCATCAAGAACAGAAGAGAGTTCTCAAGATTTTGTTGCGATCAAAATGCCACCAACACCAAGTTCCAATCCCACTCCTACTCCAAAGAGAGTGAATTTTCTTGTGAGTTCTCGCTCTGTTGATCCTCCAGCACATAACTCTCCTGGGCCTTCAACATCAAGAGGAAAATCAGCCATAAGAAGCCTGCTCCCAAAACTGAGCTTCAGGTATCGAACACCAGCAGCAGATGTTGAAAAGGCAAATACCGCAGCTCCAGAAGTTTCCTCTTCAGGCATTGGAGAAAAGCCTTCAATTGCAAGATCATTGTCTCTTACTAAGATATTTACTCCTCGGATTAAGAGAACGTCATCGTTACCACTAGATGAAATTAGACAATCAAACAATGAATCTTCTCATGGTGGAAGTGTTGGTGGTCCTCTAAATGTAAGATTTAACAAAGCTTTTAAGTTCCATTTTTCTGTAGTTATATATGGTAGACATTGTTGATAAATCTTGAGTCGTTTTAATAACCTTTGTTTTTAACCTATTAGTTCATTTTCACAGAAAAAAGAAGCCCAGAGGAAGATAGCTCGCTCTCTTTCAGTACCTGCCAACAACAAAGACAAAAGCTTAAGGAGGATGGATTCATTTTTTCGCATTGTTCCTTCCACTCCTCGAATAAAGGAAGGAGATGTATTGGTAGACACATCAACAAACGATGCTGGTATCTCATTATAAACATTTGCTTTTGAACTCATGGAAAATTGTAGAATTTTATATGCCAACTTTGAATTATTTGGCGGAATAGAATCCACTCTCCCAGTTTCAGATTTTGTTTAAAAAAAAAGCCTACTTTCTCTGGAGACATTTTAGTTTAATTTATAATTTTAGAACACCTACATCTTCTTAACTTCCATGAAGTTAGTAACTCGTCTTAAATACTTTCATGGTGCAGAAAATGAAGATGCTAATGGTGAAGATATAGCCGAAGAAGAGGCCGTGTGTAGAATCTGTCTGGTTGATCTGTGTGAAGGAGGTGAGACCTTCAAGTTGGAATGCAGCTGCAAAGGTGAACTTGCACTGGCTCACCAAGAATGCGCTATTAAATGGTTTAGTATAAAGGGTAACAAGACCTGTGATGTGTGCAAGGAGGAAGTTCGGAACCTACCTGTCACTCTATTAAGGATCCAAAGTGTTCGAAATCGGAATATTGGTGCAAATAGGTCTCAGCTGGAAGATGCAAACGGATACAGGCATGTCTATTTACTTTTGTTTCTTAAGGATCTTACCGATGAATGAGTTACAACAATATGCTTCAGTGAGGAACTAAATGGATATTATATAATCTTAATATATGAACTAAATTCGTATATTGAGATTATATATGAACTAAACTCATAGAATCTTAATATATGAATTGAATTTAGTTCATATATAATCTCAAATACAGGCATATTAAATACAGTCATGCCTATTCACTGTATGAACTGAATTCAGACTTTAATAATCTTGAATCACTTTCCTGCCCCTTGCTTGTTGTTATTTAACTAAATTCTCATGTCTCCTCTGCTTCATGCATGTAATAATGGTTATTAACTTATCACTGCATCTAAGATACAGAACAGCTAATTTACTGTTATGCCTTAGAAATTGAACTAATGGACTCACATACTATGTCATGATTCAAACATTGTTTCCTATACAGACCATTTGTGATGCTTATAAGTCAATAGTTTTTCTTGAAGTTGTGCAGTTACTACTAGTGGAATAGTGTGTTTTTGTTATATCTTTATTTATAAATTCTTTCACTGTGGATTATTAATTATTATAGTCACGCCTTTAATTTGTCTGCTAATTTTAATAGAGTATGGCAGGAAGTCCCAGTTCTTGTCATTGTCAGCATGCTAGCGTATTTCTGCTTTCTTGAGCAGCTATTGGTAAGAACATCAGTCCTCTCAGAATTATAAAATTTGCAATTTTCTGTAGGCTCAGTTATTCAGCTCTCTGCAGGTTGGAAAAATGAGTACTGGTGCAATTGCCATATCTCTTCCATTTTCCTGTGTACTGGGTCTACTTTCCTCCATGACATCATCAACCATGGGTAGGTTTGAACATTGGTAAATATTGTAAATATACTTTTCTCAATAACTCATCAGATATGATATAGGGAGTGTCCGTTGCATCTTTCATGTATCTGTTGCCACTCATTTAAATGCCTTTTATCCAATATATCCTTCTTCTGGGCTAATGAAACTGTTAACTGGGGGAGTTTTATAAAACTTAATTAAATAAGAGTGGTACCGACACATTAGAGTCAGAGTAGACTGGTCAAAGCCACTGTTTGTTGTAATAGGCTGATAGCACTCTTTATTGAGGTCTGGATAGTATAAAACGTGATGTGGCAATTTCTGTTATTATGACACTGAATGATTCTTTTATTCTCAACAAGTAATTGCTGTTCCTGTTTTTATTCATGTCGGTTTTGTTCTTTTCTGCTAGGTTGGTTAGCTGATCTATGTGTCCTAACATTTTTGTTTTAAACTCTGGTGTCCAGTGAAGAGCAGGTTCATCTGGATTTATGCTTCTGTCCAGTTTGCTATGGTGGTTCTCTTTGCGCATATTTTTTACTCCGTGGTAAGGAATTTTGTCTGAACCAAATTCTTGTTACCTGTATTTATCTTTTGAAACAAAGTTAGGCAATATTTTATGAGAAATAAATGATCAAATTAATAGAATAATAGGCTTTTATCTCTAAAAGAAAAACAACAGTATCAGATGTGGTAGGGATGAAATTATGCCGTCTCCAAATTTTCATAGAACATGCAGATTCTTGGGGGATGTGATGGTACAATGGATATTCAATCTGATTCCATCTAATTTGGTTTATGCATATCCTGATTCCAAAGTCCAATCACCACATTTTTCTTGTATAGCGTAGCATAATTGGTTGGTTATATGGATGCATGAAAGTGTGTAACTAAATGCAGAAGGCCAAGCATTCTGACTCTCTTAGTGTCGTTTTGTCTCCTACAGGTTCGTGTGCAAGCTGTTTTGTCTATCCTTCTGGCCACATTTGCTGGTTTTGGTGTGGTGATGAGTGGCAGTTCTATTCTTGTGGAGTTTTATAGATGGAGAAGAAGATTGCAGGCATCAGAACACCGACAAGGCCCTCAATTGGTGCCACAAACAGGACAAAATCCACAATCTTCAAACACTCCTAATTCAGATTCAGGTTCAGGTCCTTCAAACCACAGTCAACCTGTGGTGCAAAATGAACAGAACTCAAATCAGAGTTGAATTGATTTGTTTGTTTGGCTTCTCTTAACACTAGAGGATGCAACTCATCGTTTTTCATTATTGATTTGGAAGTACTTTCGTGTATAGGGAATTAGACTTTATTACATTTTTACATCTTCACCAGACTTCATTGTACAGCTTATGGCAGCAAGCAATAGTGACTTAGAATATAGCTTCTCATGCTATAGAATTTCTGTTTTTTAATATGGGAATTACAATTTTCAGCACACTAAAACCAGAAGGCGTCTGGTCTTCTTTTTTGTAGTCTTGGGTGAGAGAATGATTTTGTTTTTGTTCAGAGTGGAGAACAAGTCTTTTTAGTTCATCTTGGTGATTGGATCATTGATGTAGAAAACTAAATGAAGCTTTATTACCTTCTACTGTAGGACTAGAGTACATTCTAGAAAATTGCATGTTATGTTACAAGAATCAACATATTTTGAGGGAGGAAATTTGTGAATGATATATTGTCTTTCTTAGAAAGATGGAAATCTCTTATCTTTATTCAATTAGGTATTGATTGGCTTGTCATTACTGATATTTGTATATGACAAGATCATTGCAAAAGTTGTTGTGACAGGTAGTGTTTACCATGTTCTTTATTTGACCAAGTATGTTTGCCACAATCTATCACCAAGATAAAGAAGCTTGCTTTCTTCTTTTATTGAATTTTTGTTACAAAGCTAGCTTTATTCTATTCAAGCTGACACTGAATTGTATTATCTACTTTATCTGCTAGCACACTTGTTTAAGGAAAATAAGAAATCGTGTCAGCTGTTTCACAGTGAAAATGACTTTTTTTAATCAAATGTGGAGCAGAAAAGCAGAATCTGATAACATTAATATGGTTGCTTAATTGCCTTTATTATGACTAGTTTATTGGTTAAGTTTCACAAAGTTATTGACTGAAAATAATGGTTATTCTTTTGTTTAAAGCTAAATGAAAACTTTTTTGCTTGAATATTTGAAGTGATGTTACTTTAAGTTTTGAAATAACTAGTAATTTTATTTATTCTTTGAATGTGTTACAAAATAGTAAAATAATTCCTAAATGTTATAGTTTGATACTTCTAATTCAAGTCAACTCAATCTTTAAAATTGTATCTTGATGATATAATGGTCTCATAAAACTTTATATATATATATATATATATATATATATATATATATATATATTTATATTGAAGGATTTGATTGCACGAGTAAAAGCAAATTATGGACTTCATTTAAGAGAGAAAATTTGAGCATAAAGATTATTATTGAAAATTGAATAGTAATGACTATTCAAATAAATAATGTAGTAGATCTAAGATTTAAATGATCTGATATTGTCCAAATCTGATTTTTGGTGAAAATAATTTTTGACCAAACTTTATTTTTTTTCTGAGTGAGATTAGTCTAAGATGAAGTTTTAGAATATTGATGTCCATAAGATAAATAATAAAATATGAATGTTATGCAACATTTTTGGAAATGGTACAAGTTTGCATGTGTTAGCCGAAATACACGTCTTATACCTGAAGAGTCGAAGGTTTTTGTTGTTTTCACCTCTATTTTTTTTTCCTGTACCTTTCTACTAAGATGGAATGAAAAAAAAGAATCTTTTTTTAAATATTTATTCTTTTTTTTAAATATTAAAAAGCTTTCAAAGTACACATTATAAAATGTTTAAAAAATATATTTTTAAAATTGATAATTTTTTTATATATTTTGGATTATCTTATTGGTTTTACCGAACACAATTCGAGGGTTATAAAATGAAGAGTCAAATAATTATTCAACGTTTTAGTGATTCTTAATGATGTTTAAATAATGTTTAAAAACAAAAATAGGTAAGATTTGTAAAATATATGCTATTAGCATGATGATCAAAGTTAGTGATTAAAATTTTTAAAGGATGAAAAGTAATATTTTATATATTTTTTAAAAGAATTAAATAGAATGATTTCTAATTTTAGAAGAACGTAAAATATATTTAATTTTAAAATAAAATAGAAAAACAATTTGTAGAAAGTGAAGAACTGAAGGAACACATAGTGTCTATAAGGTCTTCGTGTAGTAGTGACTATGGAGCAGAGCATAGGTGAATACAGATTTTGCATACCATGAATGTTTCTGCGCAAGGACTGCTTCTCCTAAACACTAGTTTCTTTTCCAATTTCTCCTTCCGAGGTGACCTTTAGTCACGACCCTTGTCAGTCCCTTCTCTCTCTTTCGTTTTTTTTTCGAAACTTCAATCAAACAGTTGGTGGGTCAATCAATAAACCAAATTTGTAATACTTCAACGTTTTTTTTTAACTTCTTGTATACCCACTTGAATTTCATGGTCAATAATGCTTTCTTTGGTGGCATTTTGGATAAAAAAATGCCAATTTTATGCGTTACTTTACCTTTTCTGGTCAACTCTAAAGTTGAGCTCTATATGTGACACTTGTGCTTCAGGGTTTCGCAGGTTGTCAGTTGTTCAACGTTCGCAGCAGTGTCACGGGCTGAGAAGAGGTTTCTCGAAAAGCATGGCTTGCAGTGTGGAAAATTGTGATATGGGTAATGGGGTGGTTCATCCAGCCACGGATGCCTATGCTGGAGAGGCAGTTGAAGCTTTGAAAGCTGGGAAAGTCATAGCGGTACCCACCGATACACTCTATGGGTTTGCTTGTGATGCTTGGTATGCTGCTATTTCAATCTCTGCTTCAAAACTTATATTGCCTTTGTAGATGCTTAAAGTCCTTCAAGCTTCACTTGCGTTTCTGGCCCTCTAGTTTTTTTCTTCTGTGTTGCATTTTATACTTTTCTAGGTACATGTAAGAAACATTGGTTGTGGCAGTTGTACTATCTTGGATTTTAGTTCTAACTATGTTTGAAAATTAACTTCAAGCTTGGTATAATCAACATAGAGAAAAAATGTAGACGGAAATACCTTCTGCTGGAAAATTATGAAAACTCTATTGTATAGTATAGCATTAACAAAGAATGAAGTTATAACTGCACCCTAAACTAGTGAAATTTCAATGAATTTCTGTATTTGAATATAAATCTAGAGTTTATTTTTCTCTACCAAAAAGGAGTATAAGAGTTTTGAATTTCTATAACATTTCTGTTGTTTTAATCTACGAACCTAATATTAAGCAATTCATAGTATTTCCTGACAATATATCCAATGAAATGTTGGGTCAGTAAAATTCGATCTTCCTAAAAGGAAGCAGATGAATAATTGCTTTATATCCATTTCATACAGGTTTCCGTAAGATATAAAAAAAGTTTCATAAACATCATATGGGAGAAAAGTTAGCTCCACATTATTCCCATCGTTGTAAATGTTGACAACAAACTTGTGAAAAAACTTGATTCACCTCTTGTTCCATTCATGCAATCAATAAATACAATTTATGGACTCACTCTGACCGTTGTACTCAAAACAAACAAACTCATGAATTACCTATAAGTCTCCAACAGCTAATACATTAATTACTCTACTAGACTGTCTTGCTGAATTCTCCACTCGCTTGTGCTCGGTCCCCCGAGCTACGTGCCACCATCAACAACACTACTTCTTGTTCAACTTCTTCTGTGATGTTGGTTGTCTATTCTTTTCCATCATATCGACAATTTTTAGTAAAACGTATGACCTTACCACAACTGAAGCACTTATACGTGTAGCACTCTTTTGCATAATAGACATCCTTGCCATTTTGAAAGCATCCAACATTTGAGTGTCTTGGCTGACTTCCTCTCCATGGACCTTGTTCTCTTTTGTACTAATTTTGTTGACTGGACTGTTCTTTCTCCCTTTCCTATCCTTTTCTTCCACCACTAAGATCGCTTCCTCTACCTCTTCGGTATCGTCCTCTACTTTGAGTGTTGTGAGCCTCTCCCTTCATTTGGAGTAGTTGATTAAGTGGCTCTTGATACCACTTTGTAGACAACAAACTTCTTGTGAAAAAACTTGATTTAGCTCTTGTTGTTCTTATTCCATTCATGCAATCAACAAATACAATTAATAGACTCACATATTCTGATGGTTGTACTCAAAACAGATAAAAATGGCTATAAATGACTAACCCATTAACTACCAATAAGTCTCCAGTGGCTAATATATTAACTACTCTTAAGACTCCAACGGCCAATTCATTAACTACCAGTAAGTCTCCAATGGATAATTCATTTAACTTTATTCTAAACCCAACACTGAATGCCTACGTGTTTTCTTGTTTTAATGCAATGTGTTTAAAATTTCGTTTACACTCTTGTGTCTACACCTTCTTATGTCTCTATTAAATTACATTCTAAATGATTAATGGTTACCTCTTACTTTTTATTGGGGCATGTTGGCAGCTCATTGGAAGCGGTTAACAGGATTTATGAGATCAAAGGCCGTAGACACACAAGCCCTCTGGCTATTTGTGTTGGCGACGTATCAGACATAACCCGTTTTGCTGTCACTGACCATTTACCTCATGGTCTGCTTGATTCCCTCCTACCTGGGCCTGTTACAGTTGTACTAAAACGAGGTTTGTCAGTCATATCTGAGAGTGTGTGTAAGTAATGGAAAGTAAATTTATGGAAATTAAATATGCAGAGTAGTCTATAACATATGCCTAAAGCAATCAACTAACAAAGTTTAGGATGCAGCAATTTATTCCTATTTCTTCGATCCCGTTGTCAAAATATCTTCTGTGTACCTCGGGTTCTGTTATAAAGATCCTATTTATTGTCTTGTCTCATAGTACGTATACCTTGATATTTTGCAGGAGAGTCAAGTGTTCTTGAACGATCTTTGAACCCAGGATTGGATAGTATAGGAGTTAGAGTGCCTGATTGCAATTTCATCAGGACCATTGCCCGTGCTTCAGAAACTGCTTTAGCCCTCACCAGTGCAAACTTAAGTGGACAGCCAAGTAGTCTTTCCACCAAAGATTTTGAAAACCTCTGGGAACACTGTGCTTTTGTTTATGATGGTGGTTTGATTCCATCAAGTCGTGCAGGTTCTACAGTTGTGGACCTCACTACACCACAAAGATACAGGATACTTAGACCTGGAAGGTAGCTGGTCTAAACTTTAATATACTACACTGTTTAAAACATGTACTGTGCGGTAAGATGCAGATTTCAAAACTATTTCTGTTATATCATTTTTCCACTCCAATATACGACGGAAATGCTTGGATTTTTCTGTTCTAATATTTCACCATTTAAAATGATGACACCAAATTCATCCAGTTCTGAGAACTTTCATTAGCTCTTCTCCAGTTAATAATGTGTGGACCTCTGCAAAATGCATATAAAACACGGCCATCATTCCTGTCTGAAGCCTTTTCTTAAGTAATAATAGTGGCTCAAAACTGACGTTTTACTAGCAGAATGATGCAATATCTGAGTTTACATGTTTTGAACAAACCTGTTCATAATATTTAGTTGCCATGTATATTTCATATTTTGTGAGTATGAGTTTTATGTTGCCTTAAATCAAGTGTTCTTGTTCACCTATCATTTGCAGTGCAAAGGAAGAGACAATTTCCATCTTGGAGAAGCATTCTTTCGTTGAGACAGTGACCTCTTAAATAAGTTGTGATTCATTTTCAGTGTGACATTGTAGACCTAATGTCCCACTTGCAAAATCAAACAATTCTTTCGCTTGGACAAGTGAGAAGCTATCACCCAGGCTAATTATTCCCATTGTCTGCTTTATGTTTTATAGAATCTCTAGGATGCATAAAAAAATACGTTAAAAAATCGATGATGTTGTGCTTCAACTTGGTTATATTATTTTTTTTTCATCAATAAATTTGCATAAAACATCTTTATATCTTGAGCAGGTGCTATGGAAATGTAGACAGTCTAGTGAAATCCAATTCACAGAATATTTTTTGTGGATAGCATTATTATTGTGTTAAA